CCGATTTTTCACTTCCCTTAGCACTTTCCTGTTATCTCACCTATTTTTCAAGAGCACTATACCTTTATGTTCTCTGGGACACCACTCACTACCATCAACCTGTACTACAATACTTAGGATTGTTGAAATATGCTGGAGCTCCTCTGCTGCAAGTGTTGACCCTAGGGGTGTCACCTTTTGAATTTTTGAAGTGATGTAATACAGCTGCAGACACCAGACATTGTTGCACTCATGGAGACAAAACTTGAAGATGATATTTTAAATGAGGTCATATTCCCAAGGGGCTACTCGGTTTGGAGACGGGACAGAAAAATTAGTTAAGGCAGTGGCGTTGCTGTGCTGGTGAAAGAACACCTATAGGTAAACGAGATAATAATTGCCAATCCACGAGAAGTTGACATAATAGCACTAGAGATCTGCAATCAGGATGATAAATTAACGATCATATAGCATATAGTCCACCACCAAACAACACATGGACAAAAGAGGAGCTAGATAACAAACGAGAGGGTCTTATAACAATAATGAGAGAAATTATAGCGAGAGCGGATATAGATAGATCACGACTGTTGGTAGTCAGCGACTTCAACTTGAAATCTTGAAATCCATAGACTGTGACGTATATAAAGCTAGAACAGAGGATTTTTGGACTTGTAGATTCATAAACCTCATCCTGGAAACATTCACGTTTCAACATGCTAAACAAGCTACGAGGATGAGGGAAGGGGATGTTCCCTCCATGCTGGATTTCATATTTACCAGGAAAGAGGAAAATTATATTTGACATTCAGTACCGTCCTCCCTTGGGTAAAAGTGACCATGTCTTTTTTTAAATAAAGTATGCAGTGCATTATAATCTGGAAGAAAATGAGGTTGAAGCAATTGAAAAACCTGATTTCAGGAGAGGTCATTATGGGGGAACTCAGACATTTCTTTAAGAAATTTGACTGGAAAGACTTGCAGTTAGGACAAGAAGTAAATGAGATGTACAGTATGTCAAGTTTTGTGAAATATATGATAAAGGCACAACAAAATTTGTACCAAAGCAGAGATGCAAAACTAGGAAACAGGATTGGTTCAACAGAAATTGCGAGAAGGCCAGACTAAAAGACACAAAAATGGAATCAATATAGGAAGAGGCCAAACTCCCAAACATACCAGCAATACAAAGATGCAAGAAACAATTACACAGCAGTGAGGAGAGAGGCAGAAAGGAATTTTGAAAAAGGGATAGCGGACAAATGTAAAGCAGAACCAGGCCTATTCTACAAAGTTATAAACAACAAATTGCAGGTATAGGATAATATTCAGAGGACGAAAATGGGAAACAGATTCACGGAAATGAAAAGAAAATGTTTAAAACATTAAACGAAAGTTCCAAAGTGTGTTTGTACAAAATGAAATCTTCAGGGAACCAGACACAATAAGAATTCCAGAGAACAACATAGAGCACATAGAAGTGTCTAGAGACGAAGTGGAAAATATGCTCAAGAAGTTAAATATGAACAAAGCAGTTGGCCCAGATGGAGTTTCACGATGGGTTCTGAGAGAATATGCATCTGAGCTCAGCATTCCACTTTACATGATTTTTCAGGCATCCCTGTGTACGGAAGTCGTAGCAGACGCGTGGAAAAAGACTAACATAGTTCCAATCGTTCCCACCAACCAAGAATACTCGGTTGGTTATCTTGAGGTTATCTTGAGATGATTTCGGGGCTTTTAGTGTCCCCGCGGCCCTGTCCTCGACCAGGCCTCCACCCCCAAGAAGCAGCCCGTGACAGCTGACTAACACCCAGGTACCTATTTTACTGCTAGGTAACAGGGCCATAGGGTGAAAAACTCTGCCCCTTGTTTCTCGCCGGCGCCTGGGATCGAACCCAGGACCACAGGATCACAAGTCCAGCGTGCTGTCCGCTCGGCCGACCGGCTCCCTTAGTTTGTAATTACCTAAGTGTAATTACCTAAGTGTAGTTACAGGAAGAGAGCTACGCTGGTGATGTCCCGTCTTCCCAGCACTCTTTGTCATATAACGCTTTGAAACTACTGACGGTCTTGGCCTCCACCACCTTCTCCCCTAACTTGTTCCAACCGTCTACCACTGTTTGCGAAAGTGAATTTTCTTATATTTCTTCGGCATCTGTGTTTAGGTAGTTTATATCTATGACCTCTTGTTCTTAAAGTTCCAGGTCTCAGGAAATCTTCCCTATCGATTTTATCAATTCCTGTTATTATTTTGTATGTAGTAATCATATCACCTCTTTTTCTTCTGTCTTCTAGTTTTGGCATATTTAATGTCTCTAACCTCTCCTCGTAACTCTTGCCCTTCAGTTCTGGGAGCCACTTAGTAGCATGTCTTTGCACCTTTTCCAGTTTGTTGATGTGCTTCTCAAGATATGGGCACCACACAACTGCTGCATATTCTAGCTTTGGCCTAACAAAAGTCGTGAACAATTTCTTTAGTATATCGCCATCCATGTATTTAAAAGCAATTCTGAAGTTAGAAAGCGTGGTATAGGCTCCTCGCACAATATTCTTTATGTGGTCCTCAGGTGATAGTTTTCTATCTAGAACCACTCCTAGATCTCTTTCTTTATCAGAATTCTTTAAAGATTTCTCACATAATATATAGGTTGTGTGGGGTCTATGTTCTCCTATTCCACATTCCATAACATGGCATTTATTAACATTAAATTCCATTTGCCAAGTGGCGCTCCATGTACTTGTTTTTTCCAGGTCTTCTTGAAGGGCATGACAATCATCTAAGTTTCTTATCCTTCCTATTATCTTAGCATCATCAGCAAACATGTTCATATAATTCTGTATACCAACTGGTAGATCATTTGTGTAGACAATAAACATCACTGGTGCAAGAACTGAACCTTGTGGTACTCTACTTGTGACATTTCTCCAGTCCGATACATTGCCTCTGATCACAGCCCTCATTTTTCTATCAGCCAGAAAATTTTTCATCCATGTTAGAAGCGTACCTGTCACTCCCCCAATATTTTCCAGTTTCCAGAACAACCTCTTATGTGGAACTCTGTCGAAAACCTTTTTTAGGTCCAGATAGATGCAGTCAACCCAACCATCTCTTTCCTGTAATATCTCTGTTGCTCGATCATAGAAACCGAGTAAATTCGATACACAGGATCTTCCAGATCGAAAACCATACTGTCTGTCTGATATTATATCATTTCTCTCCAGGTGTTCTACCCATTTAGTTTTAATTATTTTTTCCAATATTTTGACTATTACACTTGTCAATGATACCGGTCTATAATTAACACTTTCGCTCACCCCGTACACCACCCCTCAATAGTGCGATATGGGACCCAGGGTGTCACGGGAGCACACGTAAATTCTGAAAAGTGTATACTCTCTTCAACTTTGTCACCTTAATTCTCGTCCTACGAGATTAAATTTGGTATCATTGTGTTCGCAATAGAATTCTCTACAGCACTAAATACATATAAACTCCAAAAGCCCAGCTAATTACCCGCAGCAAACAGAGAAAGTGCGAACGAGTTACCCAGGAGCGGGCAAACGCGATAAAATGTTTTCACTATTTTCACTCTGGTCACCTCAATTTTGGTCCTAGGTCTTTCATTTTGGTCTCAATGGGTTCGCAATAGAATTCTCTAGAGGAACATTAGCATATAAAATATAAAACCTGGTCACGCTCCAACCGCCGAAGAGTTGAAGACGAGCCCGCGTTAGCCGGGAGTGAGCGCTCAGACGCCTTCCAGCTACACTCCCAATTCCCTCCCTTTTCAAGCCTTTCTTTCGCAATTTTCTTCCTGGAAGGGCCTTGTTCATGATCACTATCCATCGTGGAGTAAGGGTAGATAGTTTCTAAAGCCGCAGTAAAAAATATAGCCACAGAAAATAGCCGAAATGTTCACAGGTTTGAGATGCGAGGGGAGGCGACATTGGTCACAACAGTGGAGCGAAAACAATGGGCCCACGGCATGTGCCAAGCCATCTGAGGGTTACGAGGCTCAACAAAGAAAATGGGTAGACATCGGCGCACATTTTAAAACCAGTCCCAAAAAAATCGGATAAAAACCTGATTTTTGACGATTATTTAAAGTGGATGACGCAATGCTGCGTCATCCCCGGTATTACCGACAGTAAACGGATGACGCAATGCTGCGTCATCCCCGGTATTACCGACAGTAAACGGATGACGCAATGCTGCGTCATGCCCGGGCGAAAGTGTTAAGGGGGGTCTTCCCTGCTTCCACTTTTGTAGATTGGAACTATGTTAGCCTTTTTTCCACACATCAGCTACAACTCCTGTATGCAGGGATGCCTGAAAAATCAGTTGAAGAGGAATGCTGAGCTCAGGTGCACATTCTCTCAGAACCCATGGTGAAACTCCATCTGGACCAACTGCTTTGTTCTTATTTAGCTCCTTGAGCATTTTTTCCACTTCGTCTCTAACCTTTTTGGTTAACCCCTAACCTTTTGGTTAGTGGTGCAGTTAAGTGGTTAACCTTAAATTACTATATTACTCTGTATTCTGTTATGTTCCAAAGAAAATGTTATGAGAGTATCCAGTTGCTTTTCTAAACTACACCTTGTATTTCCATCCTGTTATTAATATAAATAAACTACTGTACTATTGCTACATCAACCGACTCCATTATGTAATAGTCTATGCCTGTCATTTTTTAAGTATCAACTTTTTTGCATGCATTTTTTATTTTTCATGAATGTTATCATCATCTTGTTACCTTTAGTATCAAGTATTGTACCCCCTCACAACTTTAGTTAAATTTTTTCTATTTTATTTTAAGTTTTGCCAGAAACGCTCTGCATAATAGTGGCTTCATTAGTATGTGTAATTCCTGTCCCTGCAATTATACATTATTCTTATGTTCTTTGTATACACATTCTTTTGAATTAACTATTATTATTATTATTATTACAACTATAAGTCACACTACTGAATTTAATTATTTTAACAATTTAATTTATTTTAACATATACTAGATTACCTGTGTGTTGTTTCTGAGGGAAAACAACTGTTGCTCCCTGATTGCTGTATGACTCTGGAACGCCAGCATTACAAGATGAAGGCAGTTTGTGAGAAGATACAAAATCTCTTGCTGTCCGGAGTGAATATGGATGGCATGTCTTTGGAGGGCCAATAACTGAGCACTGGTTATTAGTCTCCAAATCTTGCAACACTCGTTTTTGAGATCCTGAAGAAATTGCATTATCCCATGACATTGATGTATGTAACCCACACGAATCTTTTCCAGAAGTAAAAGGAAAGGCACTGTCAGCTGGTGTTTTTGAACTTTCATTCCATATACTGTCAGCGAGACAAGGATTTGATGGGAACAGTTGACTTATTGGGTTTGTCGAGTCATTTACATCAACACAGGTTACGCTAGAGTCAAATTTGTTATCACTCATATCCTTGAAAAACGAAGGGTAAATATTTTCTTCATTACCTATGATAGAAATCACATTTACATCTGTGTTGGACTTTCTAAATATATCGTCAGTAAAGTTCGAATTAAAAATATCTGTCAGATCATGAGATCCTTGATCTGTAGTTAATGGCTCCCATGGATCTTTTTGCATTATTTGGTGGTTAAAATCATTTTGTAATGAAGCAGGACAGTGCAATGTATGCCATAAATCTTGTGATTGGAATGAAGAATTATTTATAGAAGTATTCCTCTCATTTGGAGAGACCTTTTTATCTGTTGGGTATGTTGCATGTGAAAGAGGAGCTTTAATATTAGTATCACATTCCTCACTGAGCTGTTTCCATAAAGCGCTTGTTACTTTAGAAGGGTTGCTAGTAGCCTTACTGCATTCTGAGTGGGACTGATTCCACCTGCATGATCTGAAAATTAATATGCAGTATATAATATTTAGGGTAGTAACCCATAAAATAAATCGGAATCTTTAAATAACAGTACTGAGAAAAGCACTGTCTATACATGAAACAGTTTATGAAACATTTGTATAGCAACAAGAAAATCGATAGCTGGAGTGTTACAAATCTAACCAATTTCAGTGCACACATGCATGAGAAGATGAACTCCTTTATCAAAATCTTAGTCAGTATCCTTTTTCCCACCCCTGGAATGAATTAAAAAGTATTTGAACTTCTACAGCCAATACCTTTTGCTGATGACATCCTTCCATTTTCTCACATACAGTACAACCTCGATTTGGCGCATTATATGGGACCAATCATAGTTCGTTGCAGGGTTGGAGTCGTTGCTAGAAGTGACCTTCAGGTGGTGGTTGTGTCGTGCCTTTTTTTTCTTGTACATAATATAAATGCATTATAATATTATATACTGTACCTATATATATTACTACTCTACTAAAAAAAATACTGTTACAGTTTTATTTACCTTATTGTTGGAGTATGTCCATTTTGAATTCTCAGAGTTGTAAATACGTACAGTAATGTATTATGCAGTTAGCACTATTGATTATGTACTTCTGCTGAATGTTGAGTACTACAATAGTTCATGAAAACTATTGTACACTACAATTACCTCAACTTAATTTTAACACTTTAACACTATGTACTTTAATTTAACACTTGTTCTAACTGTACACTCCACACATGATGTTCTAGATGTTTTCATCAGCTTTGCTTGTGTTCGTTCCTGCTGTGTTGGTTTTAGCTGTTTAATGATTCTTCGGCAATTTTCCTGTTCTTAATATTATGCCTATTCTTAAATCTTTCCAACCATTCTTCACTAGCTCAAAAATCTGGAATGTTCATCTTTAACCAGTGCACTGCGCCAAACGACAAATACCGTTCGCCCATTACTGCACCAACCAACAAAAGTACTTTTTATTTTTTTGTACACAGTCAAAACGTGCTCGCAGTAGGTTGGGTACGAAATGGACTCTTGGGATCTCCAGTGAGAGGCAGCCATCTTGGAAAAATTTCCCAGAATGTCCTAGGGCTGCTGACTGGGTTAGTACAGAGTGAGCAACTATGGGTGGCGCACGCGCCTCTGGCTCCCTGTTCGGCGCGGTGTTGAAGGATCGCTCTCTGTCGGTAAAATTCAGACCTTATTGCTTTAAGAAAATAAGGGTCATGATATTGATGAAGCTAGGCGCAATAAGGACCTAACACAAAGGTCGGATGCAAGTAATACAGCGCCTATGAGGATGATACAGAGAGCATATCCAGTTGCAGCTCTGAGCGCCACCCTTGCCCACCTATGCCATCTCCAATTTATATACAGTGGGGCCTCGACTTACGGTGGTAATCCGTTCCCAGAGACGGATCGTAAGGCGAAATGTCGTAAGTTGAAGCGATTTTTCCCCATAAGAAATAAAGGGAATTGAATTAATCCGTTCCCCACCCTCCAAAATATTAACTTACAAATACATTTAATAATGAATACAATGTTTTTTTCTAACTACAATACAGTACATATGTTTATCTTACCTTTATGGAGGACTCATGATTCGTATGGAAGATGGTAAGGAGGTGGGAGGAGGAGAGGTATTACTGTTTGGAAAGGGAGTCCCCTTCCATTATAACATCAGGCAGTGATGACTTCTCTGGGGTACACACACTCTTACATTTTGCCTGCATACCACTAGGACCTGGTTGTGATTCACTGCTTGTTTGTCTAAAAACCTTTCCAGAGATTTTTGTTTTTCCATATGTTTTAATTTTTGTCTGTAATGAGGCATCACAGTGTCAATAAAAAGGTTAAGGCAACGTCCTACTGCACCGTGATTTGGGCGAGTCGTTTCAGCAAAAGTTTGCAATTCTTCCCATGCTGCACACATTTTCTTAATTAACACTTTCGCCCGGGCATGACGCAGCATTGCGTCATCCGTTTACTGGCGGTAATACCGGGGATGACGCAGCATTGCGTCATCCACTTTAAATAATCGCCAAAAATCAGGTTTTTATCCGATTTTTTGGGGACTGGTTTTAAAATGTGCGCCGATGTCTTCCCATTTTCTTTGTTGAGCCTCGTGGCCCTCAGGTGGATTGGCACATGCCGTGGGCCCATTGTTTTCGCTCCACTGTTGTGACCAATGTCGCCTCCCCTCGCATCTCAAACGTGTGAACATTTCGGCTATTTTCCGTGGCTATATTTCTTACTGCGGCTTTAGAAACTATCTACCCTTACTCCACGATGGATAGTGATCATGAACAAGGCCCTTCCAGGAAGAAAATTGCGAAAGAAAGGCTTGAAAAGGGAGGGAATTGGGAGTGTAGCTGGAAGGCGTCTGAGCGCTCACTCCCGGCTAACGTGTGGCCCGTCTTCAACTCGTCGGCGGTTGGAGCGTGACCAGGTTTTATATTTTATATGCTAATGTTCCTCTAGAGAATTCTATTGCGAACCCATTGAGACCAAAATGAAAGACCTAGGACAAAAATTGAGGTGACCAGAGTGAAAATAGTGAAAACATTTTATCGCGTTTGCGCGCTCCTGGGTAACTCGTCGCACTTTCTCTGTTTGCTGCGGGTAATTAGCCGGGCTTTTGGAGTTTATATGCATTTAGTGCTGTAGAGAATTCTATTGCAAACACAATGATACCAAATTTATTCTTGTAGGACGAGAATTAAGGTGACAAAGTTGAAGAGAGCATACACTTTTCAGAATTTACGCGCGCTCCCGTGACACCCTGGGTCCCATATCGCACTATTGAGGGGTGGCGTGCGGGGTGAGCGAAAGTGTTAATGAGGAAGGGACATTCTGTATTGTCTCCTCCTGCCCTGAAGAAATTTCCTCAGCTGTCTTTTGTTGCTGCTCCTTGTGAAATTCTTCGATGGTCAGTTCTTCTCTGCCTCGGGCCGGGCTTGGGGAGTAGAAGAACTCCCAGAACCCCATCAACCAGATATCCACCAGCTCACAACACACAACACTCTGAAGACTATGAATGCCCCTTCTTTTTCTAAATTTCTCAAACCATCCCCCTGCTCGCCTTAAACTCTTTCGCATTTGCATCACTCGTTCCAGGGGTTTTCTTTAACCCCTTAACTGCGTTGCCTCCAAATATGACACCCCCGCAGTGCGCAGGAAATAAATTCTCTGGAAAAAATTCTTTTTTTTTTTAAAGTGTCAAAAACCCTTCCCTCAGTATGGGTATGTAAAAAAAAAATCGAAATTGTACTTACTTTGGCTGCTATGGGGTCCGTAAATTGGGGCGTGATGTCATTATTCCCTGTTCGCCCGTGACGTACGCTCCCGGGGCCAGTAGGGTACTAGGGGCGGGGCGCATGAGTTGCCGCGAATATATTTTTGTTCATTTGTTTCGCACAGTTCCAAATACATTTTATTTGTTTTTATGTGCTAATCCTATGTATAGTGAACACGTACACTATATTATGGCAGTAAAACATCCATACTGTTCGAAGACACTGTGTTACGTGCATGACACTTGTGTACACATATGTAGCACATATTTACTATGTATCATGCTAATTTATGTATATATACAATCTATTTACACACTATACACTGTCACACACTATATACATTCATCATCAACACACTTAGAACACCTCGAGTGACAGCAGCCACACCCAGCCAGTCTCCCTCACTCCAACATCTTACTCGCCAACATTGCTCCTCCCACCATACTGTTATAGTTCTTATTACACATGTTCTATATACCTATCTACATGTTTTATTTACCAGAACTACGCAAGTAAGCCGGTATTGTGTCCAAACAGTACAGTGGCCACCATACACTGCATGAAAAATCACACAGCTGACAGCAGACGACACTACGATTACGTCACCTCCCTCACGAAAATAGCTCCTCTCAACATTCTCCTGTTGCTGTTCTTACACTATATACACACACTATATATACCTATGTACATATGTGTTGCCCATAGCGAACCACTAAGCTAGTATGGTGAGCAAAACAAGAGTGGTAGCCACACACACAATGAGGCTACCTCAATTCTTGCCCTCCCTCCCTCACCAAAATTCCTCCTTCCACAATACTACGCACAACGCTAATTATAACCACAATCCTGCTATTATCACAATCCTGGTCATTAATTCCTCTAAATGAATAATTGACCACACGTTTATTTTGAAAAGGAACCTAAGAAATCATTTGAAGATTCCTAGATGGACGAAATAATGCTGTGGTGCTGTGGCTAGCGCTGTGAACATCGTGAACAGCATTGAATTACTGATATTTGAACATTGTACCCAGTCATTATCACACTCGGGCTCTTCTATAACACTATCATGGCTAAATAATACAAGTTATATATATATTTTTACATTATTAGGCGATGCTGTGGTCACACGCTGAACAGCAGTGCTGTGCGCTCATGCTGTGAGCGCCAGCCTTGGTTGCTCACACACTACTGAGGCTCCCACACCCGGGAATGTGGACCACGATTTTTTTTAAAGATGGCATCTGTTTACAAGAGCCCTGAGGAAGCTGATGTGAACCCCATATAGCCGCGGGAGTTTTGAATGGAACGTAAAAAATACAAATACTGTACCTGGAGGCGCGTTGCGCAAACCAGACGTGAGCCTGCAAGCCCGTTGCGCAGTTTAAGGGTTAAAAGGTCTTCATGCAATTTCCTTGCTGTTTCACAAATGATGGCCTCTGAAACTATCACCCGCTAACTCCTTGCTATGTATCCAAATTAATAATAACTGTTCAACATCCTCAAGTGTTTGTGTTCTATGTTTCATGATTATTGATACGCCTTTTGCCACTTTAGCACTCTTAATGTCCTTTTTCTTATCCAGTATTGTGGATATCGTTGACTGAGATTTGTTGTACTGCCTAGCTAGTTTTCAACAACCCGTACACCATCTTCATATTTAGTAATGATGTCTTGTTTTTGCTCTATGGTCATCCTAACATGGGTTTTCATATGTTGAGCCTTACCACTGACTTTCTTGGGACCCATGGCATGATATATATAATAATTACTTTTATGTTCAAAAAGCAAAAAATCACCACAAAAACGCAATTTCTTATAGGCGTGATCTTCACTAAGCCAGCAGCTGTAGTAAACTGAGGCAGGTTGGCCCGCGTGACCGAGAACCACGCACTCGGTCACGCGGGAAGAAACAGCTTGCAAACACAACTCGTGAGAGTAATAGGGCGGAAGTCCTGAGGGGACGTACCGAGAGACCCTGGTTTCCGAATAGGGAGTACAACGGCATCGAGCCAGTCCTCAGGGACAGACGACGACTCACAGACCTGGTTATACAGATTCAGTAAATACCGAAACGTGCACGGAGGGAGATGGCGAAGCATCTCATAATGAATGTCATCTGAGCCCGCTGCCGTA